ATATCACTTTTTTGCCTATGTGGCACTCTTAGCATCTGTACACGGTGGAGCACTGGAAAGGGCGTCATAGTACGCTGTGCTCTTTTTTTTGTGGAAAACTTCAATCTATTCATCTTCAATCATGGTAGTACAACGAACACTAGAAATAATAAAAATTACATCCCGATCCGTAGACCACCTAGCGACGACTACAAGCACTGAAACGAGCCGAAGGCGCGCCGATGTTATCGCCCCTCCCTCGCCGGAGCGGGGCAAACGTTGTTGTAGACAGTCGGAAAGTCGTCGTGCTAAGGCCCCATGGAACCAACGCACCAGAACAGCAACCGCCGCAGATGAGGAGTGTATTTCAAAAGAAACCAACCTGAAGACACGCGAACGAAGACGAACGACGAACAGATCCGAACAAATCCACCAAAGACAGATCCGCCGGAGATGCACCTCCACACGCCTGCCGATGATGCTAGACGCATCACCGGAACGGGGGCTAGGCGGAGAGACCTTTAGTTCATCTTCAGGGAGCTGCCGCCGTCTCGCCATTCTGAGCAGGACACAAACTCTAACAAAACTCAAAAATAGATCTAAAAAGGGAGCCCTCCCACCGGCAAGGGCCGGGATCCACTCCACTTTCATGGCCCTAATGCCACCGGAGATGGAACGGGCCGACACCGGCACCGGCAGGAGGCAGAGAATCTTAGTTTGTTTGGAGGCGGCGGATGCTTTTCCAGTTTCTTTTAATGAGGTTATAGTACTTTGCGCTCTTGTATAGCAACATCGAGGTAACGAGCATTTTTGGGGAGTTATGACTATTTAACAGCCAGATCAACCTTTGCTTCTGCAAATAAGACAAGCTATAGCTCGGTTAGCCGCGCCAATTTTGGCTGCGCATTAGGTTTTCATTTCGTGTCCTCTCACCGGCATGTATTTTGTGCTTCAAACGGGATAGGCGGGCCGGATTTATTGGGCCACATCGCATGGTCTGGCTTGCTTTGGCATGGCTCGGATGAACGGTACTGACGGGCTGACGAAACTAATAACGTCTGAAATTTTGGTGGTAAGAAATGCTTATCTTTTCGTTAATATAATAGGTATAGAAGTAGAGATTTGTTAGAAAACAACTAAAGTTGGGAGAGTTTGTTAGTGCTGTAGCTTAATCCTACACACAAGGGTTATGGGTTCGATTCTTCCCCAAAACGAATCAGAGGGTCATCAGATCGTTGGACTTGTGCGTGGATCACAGGGACGAGCGAGAGACATGCAGGGATCGCAGCAAAGATGGGGATCTAGCGGGCCGTGCACGGCGTTCATTTGATTTGAATCCGACGTATCCAAAGCGTTTGGATCTGATGCAAAGAAATGTCAAGTGCTAACCAAGAAATCAACATCTACTAGGACGGGACAGCCGAGCCAGTGTAGGACTATATACTAACTCTGCAACCAACAACTCAAACATTGTTTTCCTATTCTCATGTGCCTCTATTGGCGTTACGACTGACACGATCACATGGCTACATGGGTAGTACCTCCATCCTGAATTTTTATAGCTACACTTCGTGTCAAAATTTAACCGTAAATTTAACTGACAAGATATTAATACATGTCATCAAAAATTATATTGTTGGATGTGTATTTGAACATAGTTTTCAGTGATACTTTTTTTTGACATTCATTAACAATTTTTTCATTAAGTTTATAGTTAAAATTTGACACAAAATACTAAGAAGACCATAAACTAGGTCAGAGATTATAGTATATACTACGAGCATAAGCAGGGTGAACTAAGATCAACTGAGGCTCAAGGGAATGTTTCTTTTTTCAACGTAAGGGTATCTTTTACTCCTTTGGTCTTAAGTGCGTTTTTTACACTAATGTAGTGTTAAAAACGTTCTTACATTATGGAAAGGAGAGAGTATTTTTTAAGGGAGTAATCAGTGCGGAGGCTGGCTGGCGTGCACAGTCTAACTGATGTGTCCGGATTACACCCAATGCGCGGCGACCTTATCAAGGAGTAGAACTTATATAATCGTAGCATCGTTTAACGTGGGGCAAGCGCAAGACCCGCGTCTTGTTCTGCCGACCGTCATGTGAGCACTGCAGTCGAGTTGAGTATTTTTGTGAAGGAGCGACAAACTAAATCTTCATAGGGAGTACTAGTGATCCTAGCCATATAAATCGATCAGCTTGGCGTCGTAACATGCTGCATCACCAGTACTACTACGTACGATAAATCACAGAGGTAGCGGTTCGCTTTTGATTTGGATCGAGAGCCTCCAGTGTCATGGCGCAAAGTAACAGTTCCTTTTTTTTGGAAAGGCCCTTCAATTTGTTTCCTTCCTAGAGTAAACGCACCTTTGTATTTCTCGAGAGTCCATTCTTTGCACTAATCTTTCAATCAAAAAACCATGTCATGCAGGTACTCAAATGGATGCTTGGACTGTTGGGGCGAGCAGAGAGGATTCATCCACCAATATCGTCACCATCCAAGTCGACTCATATCAGCCTTCTCAACACGGACAAGTGGGTGAAACTGGCGAGTCTCCTAGCACAATGGCAAAACACTGTAAGCATATTCATCCGTTTAGTCAACTTAGGCCTATGTTAGCCCATTCATTTTTGCTACTTTTTACTACCGACATGAATGGCTACGTCTATACTAGAACCCACATAAGAGCCACGCGGCAGTTCTAGTTACCTTTCTTTCAAATTAGTTCCTTTTCCTCCTCCCACCGTGGACACGCCCCGTGTCATCGTCTCCATTTGCATTGCTACAATGATGAGCGGCAGCATGAACACAAGCCCCTGAGGATGGCGCCTCCCAGTTGTGTAAGCTGGCTGGTAGGGGCATGTCATCACCGTCCATGAGTTTGAAGAGAAGACGGGGACATGGTGGCATCCGATTGGGTTCCGGTTGCAGCCAATGGAAACGTGCAGCTTCTATGCATGGCGTGCAGTGCCTTGTCCATGGAGATGTACTCCGAACAGTCGTCATATTGTCCTCCAAGAAGGAAGAGGGACGAATGACACAATAACTATCTATCTATCTTTATTTATTAGTATACATTAAAATCACAATACGAAAAAAATAAGAGAGATGTTCTGGAAATTCTCACGAAAAGCAAAACACATTGTTCTAGATGTGCTTATTTTAGAGGTCTCACATCTGGTTGACCATCTCTTTATTACTGGACTAGATCAGAACCATACCTAAAAAGATCATACCCACTAGATCTACGTTATCATACCTAAACATATCACACCGTTATATCTTCATAGTTGCACCTAAACAGATTATAACCATTACATCAAGATTGCCGTACTTGAGCCGATCATGTCCATCAGATCTAAATAATAGTAGTACCTACATATATACTCGCATTTTTCTCGAATACGCATAGCATGCGTATCTTGCATTATAGAGAGAAAAGGGTATAAGAACCCTCCACTGAGGGTGTTACAACACACCCACACCACCGTACACAATCCTTAATCTACATCTCGTCCATCACCCACATGTGTATCCACCCAAAAAATCGCTCCATGTCAGTCCTTATGAGGCCTGCCGTCCTCCAAGCTCTACCTTCCGCAAGACACCTACCAAGTAGTCGACTAAGTGATGCATTCATAAAAGATGAATCCAATTGTATATGCAAGCAAGAATAATACAAGGAGGCCAGATAAGAACAAAGCCAAATTAACATGTTTAGTCATACAACTGTATAGTCGTACACAAGATTGCAATAATGATCATAAGGTTTCAGACATTCACGAGAGAGCATACGACAATTAATCCAGTGAGCACGCGGATTACAAGTAAGTTTGGTCAGTACACTTGTAAACCTAATCAACAACTGACTGTGTAAACAGATCACTGACACAAAATTAATAAATAGCATCGGATTTCATAAATAATATTATATAACTCCTTTTTGTTATTTATTGGCAACATAATCATATACGTTCATACATAAAATAAAAGTCTATATTGCAATAAAAAGGGGTAAATAAGAGCAAAACGATTTGTACCCTAAGAAAATAAAATATTTAACATTTTTAACACCCAAAAATATGATGACCTCGCATTTGTGAGAGAAAGCAATAGAAGAAGACTAACATAACAGTACGTGAATACAATATTTAAACATGTGCTTGCGGTATATACTTCTTATAGATTTTTAATTTGAGTAATATGAAAGTAGAGACACTTTTTGTGAATGAAGGAGTGAATGTAAAACAAAATCACTAAGAAAATTCAGGCCAATTGTCCCTCGGGTTGGAGCAGTAATAATGATGGTCCTAAAGAAATTTGAGAAAAACTTCGAACCCTCGGCTCCTCCGAGTAGATGTGAGATTCCATAGTTTGGTTTGTTTTAGGCCTGTCCCAATGATTCACCTTTGCGTCATGCATTTTACGTAAGCAAAAAAGATGATGTTACATATTGGAATTAAGCATAAGGGAGGTGATAGTAATATCATGTTACGATATAGTATCTTAGCACATGGAGCAAGTATATTTAACGATTATCATATGCATAATTACATATTTAAATTCGAAAACAATTAGATGGCACTATGATGCTGTTGCATGATATTATATATAGAAAGATAATAAGTAATGTAATACCGTGGAGGTGGTGTTTTGGCTCATAGGTGTAGATATACCTATTATCAAATATATATATATATATATATATATATATATATATATATATATATATATATATATATAAACACATTTTAAAATGTAAAAAAATTCTGAACAATAATTTTGCGTGTAAATCCGGGTATCTTTCGCACAGACATATCATTTTTGTGGCATGTATGGAAAATATATAAAAAAATGTCTCGTGAACAGCTGTAATCAAGAAAAAAATTGCCTTTTTTACACAAGCCATAAAAAATGTCCTTTTTCAACAAAACTTCGTGTATGAACATATAATGTCAGGATGTGCACGAGGAATTTTTTGGTCGAATTTTTTTAACGTTTTAAAATATGTATTTGGACAATGGGTGCATATACACCTATGAGCCAAAGTGAATTTCCGATAATACCATACACTATCATGCTAGTATACAATACAATTGACAAGTAGAATACGGTATGAAACCTTACCAACACCCCACAACGAACAAGCATGCATTCTAGAAGACACATGCCGAGCCTTCAATGGCATAAACAGTCACTGGGCCCATGTACTAAAGCTCCCAGAAATCCGCATCTGACGTTTTGGCTCTCTGGAGCACATGCTTCCAGGTGAACAGTACCCTGAAAAAACATAAAATATTGTCAAAAGATTCTGAAAAAGTTGTAGATGATCATGTTGGCGTCGTAAGCATGCTAGAAAGTTTTCATGCGGAATGGAGCAGCTGTGTTCGTTGGTGAAAAAAACAAAATTAGGGTGACATTTGGTCTTCGTTTTGTTTTTTTTTCGCAGGCGAAAATGCTTAACTTGTTTGCCTCAAAATGTACAGGTAGCATTTGTATGTGACAAAGATCACATACAAACTTTATCTCAATTTTTTTGATATTTAAAATAAATTTTCCCCGGGAGCAAGAGCTCCCAGGAGCCAAATTGACTTTCCGCCTGATATATGTCTAACAATAGTTATGACGTCACCTGACAGAGTGATTATAAAATATACAACTTTATGCGCCCTGGATAAAATAACAAATAGCTGAGTTCATATATATGTCATAGTGAGCTGAAATGATAATCTCTTTTGCTGCGAGCACACAAACTCAAATTTTCAGAATCACTCCATTGGATCAATATTTAAAAGTTTATCAACTACATTTTTCTTTCTTTCTTGAAGGCACAGTGTTGCATCTTTTTGGGAACTTCTACACCATCAAAACCTTAAACGAGTAACCAACATTGATAGAAATCCCTATCCTATATATATTGCTATTCTCATAGCATCGTATTCTTTGTGCTGATTAATTATGGCATGCAGATACAAGAGTCTGGAATCTTGACTCCGACTTGGAGGCTGGGAAAAAACTGCTTGCCAAAGAAATTGGGATGAACACCATTGTTTCCATCAAGAGGGCTCCCAAGGTCCGTGGGGAACTCCGTGGCGCGGACGAAGACAGCTACACACCGCACCGTGTGCCGATCGGCCCTTACCATCACAATTGCTCATCTTCATGGATTGCAAAAGAAAAGCTGCGCTATGTCGGCTTCATGCAGAGTGTCTCCGAAAGATACAAGGCAGATGGTCTTAATGGTCTAGTGGAGGAATTGGAGCCCCGAGCAAGGGAGTGGTACGGGGACGGGGTTGACCACATGACGCCGGAAGAGTTGGCGAGGATGCTGCTGCATGATGGGTGCTACCTGCTGGGTTGGTTGGTGAACTATCCGGACGCCCCTCAAACATCCTGCAACGACCACAACACGGTGTTTCGCGACATCCTTTACCTCATTGAGAACCAGTTGCCTTTCTTTGTTCTTGACAAGATTCACGCGCGCGCCACAGGAGGTTCCAGTTGCCTACTCCACTACATGGCAACATACATCCAGAGTCTGCTGCATGCTCAGCTCTACATCAGCCAAGGGAAGCAGAGGCTGATGGAGCAGCCATGGCACCTGCTGCATCTAGTGCACGAATACTTCCGTCCAGCCAACTTGCCGAAGTCCACAGATCCGCAGCAGACCGGGCGCACTGGTCGGTGGCGCCGGGCGACGGCATACCGCTTGCACGCCAAGGTGAGGTTCATGCCCCGGGACTTCGCGGCCGAAGTAAATTCGGTCCTCGACGTGCGCCTTGAAGGAGGCACACTGTGGGTCCCTCGCCTGCAAGTCTGCCGGGACACGTGGACGCTCCTACGTAACCTGATGGCGCTGGAGGAGCAGATGCCCAAGAGGCCAGTCACGGCGTACTGCATCTTCATGTCGCAGGTGGCGTGCACGGTGGAGGACGTCCGGCTCCTGGTTGATGCAAAGATCGTCCAACACTTTGAGGGCAGCGACGAGCATGCTGCCCAAGGCTTTGCCGACCTCTGCAAGGGGGTGGTCATGGACGTCGACAACATCGACAGGAACTACCTCAAGCCCATCTGGCGTGACCTGGAGAAGCGCCACAAGAGCCGCGCACACAACTTTTGGGGCGGCCACTCACAGCGTGTGGCCATCGCCTTGGCATTACTAGTGGTTGTCGTCCTCCTTGCCTGTGTAGTGACGCAAACTTTCTATGTAATTATCGGCTATCGGCAACAAACAAAACATTAGTGTCCTTTTAGTTTGGACAATTTGTTAGGGCATGCAGTACTATGGTTTGTTTACCTATTAGTTTATGAGTCCTTTTACGGTACATCCAGAAATAAGAGAAGAGTGTCTCACCGAGGCTCCTCAGCGATTTGGATTTCTGACCGTTGGATCTGGCTGCTTGATGCGATCTGGGCCGTCGGATCGACCCCTGGAACGACCTCGCTCGTCGGATCAGATCCTGATACCGTAGGAATGAATAGTTTCACCTCGACCGTGCCACCGCATGTAAATAGCTTGCTCCGCCGAGGGCATTTTCATCATTTCACACTTACCCGTATAAATTGCATCCGCTCCCGTGTAGATGACCTAGCCACCTCTCCCCCGCACTCGCGCCCTCAACCCCCGCCCTCCCGCATCCCAGCCCCGCTCGCCCCAGCCCTCTCCCCGACCTCTCCCTCCACCAGACCTCGCCGCCCCGCCCACTTCGCCGCCACCAACGCCCCGCAGACCTCGCTGCCGCCGACGCCCCTCAGACCGCGCCGCTGTGGACCTCTCTCCTTGTCTCCCTCGCACCACGCCGCCCGCAGCCTCGCCCTCTCGTCATCAGAAGGGAAGGGAAGGGAAGAGAAGAGGGAGAGTGATCAAGTCAGGCGGCGGCCAAGGTGCTCGCAGATTCGTCGGGGATGTCGTCCGACCTTGGCCTCCGAGTGCTTGTGCTCTGCCTGCTCCGCGCCCACGCAATGGCCTGCTCGGGATGCCGCCCTCCCCCCCTGCTCCAACCCTAATCCCCTCCCCTCCCCTTACGCTGTTGCTGCTTTTGGTCATGCAGGTGCACGCACGTGTCCCTGCTCCTCTGGTGGACAAGGTCGGTTCCGATCTGGATGAGTAGCAACTGCTGCAGGTGGACGAGGCACTAGCCCTCATGGCTCCTCCCTCCTCCTACCCCCCTAAACCCGGTTAGCTCCACCCCCTCTTCCTACCCCTGCACATCTATCTTATCTAGCCAATTCTCAGATTTAGCTAGGTTCCAAAGAAGAGATTTTTCTTTGTCTTTCTTGTTTTGTTTTTACCTTGCTGCCAAGGAAGGCCTTGGATCTAGCTAATTATTTATAGAGTACATGTTTGTTGCGTTGCTTGGCTTGTTGGCCATATTCTGCTCAATGCACGTACACTAAAATCTGTATTATTTTGGGAAATTGTTAAATTTGCGTATGTTGTATTCTTGCCAATTTTAGATTATCAGCTACATGGAAGTGATAGTACATCTTAGTTCTCCATGCTTATTATCATTCTTGACAATTTTATATTTACAGCTGCATGGAAGTGTTAGAACTTTTCAGTTCTCCATCCATGGTAACTATCGATATATGACTCCAGTTCATGTTCTTCTAATTCTACATCAGGGTATGAAAAATCCACACTCTAATAGTGCTTCAGTCCTACAATCGACAGTTTCACATTACGCGAGAGCTAGGCTCAACCGCTTGCCTCTTCTATCAAAGGTAAAGATGAAAGTCCTTTTATTTTCTATTGCTGCATGGAATGTTTACTAGAACTTATGATTCTAAGTGGATGTGAAATAGCATGTTTTGTCTTGACACAATGACACAGAGAAACTATACTACCCATAGTGCACTTGGTATTTTAATTCACACAAGTTTCTGTGTACTGCTGATTAAACCCATACTTGTCATATGAATAAAGTGAACAGCAAAAGGAAATTTATTTTTTCTTGCACCGATAATCATTCAGTTATTATTTTGCAGTACATATCCCATTCC